AGGCCCTGAAGTCCCTCTTAGAGAAGTACTGCCCACTGATCAGATAAATCCCATTATGAATCTTAGGTAAGCAAGATACAAACTTCCATTGCATTTGAACCTGTATGTTTGGGCTTTGTGATATCAGCAAGCTTTGCCCTCATACAGGTATATACAGTACAGTTGGCCCTCCACACCCGCGGGTCCTACGTCTGTGCATTCAACCAACTACAGATCAAAAATACAATATTCACAGGATGTGAAACCCGTGGATATGAAAGGCTGGCTTTTCCTATTGGCAGGTTCTGCAGAGCCAACTTCGGGACTTGGGCATCCATGGATTTTGGTATCCAAAGGGGTCCTGGAACCAATCCCCCAGATACTGAGGAGTGACTATGAAATATATAGTACATATGTTTTAAAAAAGAAAACACATAGTACATATAATTAACATAGGTAACAACTAGCCTGATTTTACAGATGAGAAAACTGATGCATAGAGAAGGTGGAGAATTTGTCTGAGGTTAGTAAGTGGAGGAGTCAGGATTTGAACCCTGGGCCTGGCTCCAGAGGTTCCAGTCTTAAGTGCTCCACCTCAAGGCTGAACCAGCAGGCCAAGAATACAGAGGTGCAGGCCAGCTGCTCCAGGCAGCTCCTCCTGCCCACCTAGGCCTCCTCGGGCCTTTTGCCTGGATGCAGTGAGGGTCGCACCCTGCACCCCTGCCTCCTCGCCTTCCCAGGCGTCACCCTGAACCCTCCCCATTCTGACCCTCACCTCTTGGATGGACCCAGCCAATAGGCTTCAGGGGTTTTTCCCTCTCCCACTCCTCACACGCACTTGGCACAACCTCTGCTCTGGTGACCCCAAGTGTCTACCTTCCCTGGGTCCACCCCCAATCTGTTTTGAGAGAAAGCTGCCTCTGGGCCAGTGGGATCTACCTCCTGTCCACAGGCCCTATGTCAACCAGAGCTCTTTCAATGACAAGTGACAGAAACCCAACTGGCTTAGAGGAGGGAAATGTTTATTGGCTCATGTGACTTAAGAAGTCCAAGGTCCACAGGCCTCGAGCCAGCTCAGCCCCAGGTGCCCAGATGGCATCAAGAAGCTCTTGTCTCTGGACCTCTTGGCTCTGCTCTCTGTGCTGGTTTTGTTCTCAGGCAGGATGGTTCCCTCAGGGTAATAAGTTGCTTCCAACAGCTCCTGGCAGCCCACACTCATTCCGCCAGCTCTGCTGCCCCAATGTGGTCGCTGTCATCTTGCCAGCGATCCTGTCAAAACCCTTTCCTGATGGTCCCACTTGAAGTCCCAGGGCTCAGGACCCCACCCCTGCACCAATCAGTGGTGGAGTGTGGGTGGCTCTGTGATGGGCTAGCCTGGCGTGCCATTCCCACCCCTCAGCCCCAGGGAGGGCGCTCAACTGCACAAAGCACAGGTCCCAGCAGAGGTGAGATGGTTCCTGAAAGGAAACCAAAAAAGGCACTGCTACCAAAGCAGGGCACCTAGAGGCAGGCAGGGCCTGCAGACGCCCGTTTCCAGCTCCCCAGGGCTGTCCCCTCTCCATGTCTCAAATCGTTGACCCTCCCACCAGCCTTGGGTGTTTTTTTTGTTTTGTTTTGTTTTGTTTTGTTTTGAGACGGAGTCTCACTCTGTCACTCAGGCTGGAGTGCAGTGGTCAGATCTCGGCTCACTGCAAGCTCCACCTCCCGGGTTTATGCCATTCTCTTGCCTCAGCCTCCCGAGTAGCTGGGACTACAGGTGCCCGCCACCTCGCCTGGCTAATTTTTTTTGTATTTTTTAGTAGAGACGGGGTTTCACCGTGTTAGCCAGGATGGTCTTGATCTCCTGACCTTGTGATCCGCCCGTCTCGGCCTCCCAAAGTGCTGGGATTACAGGCTTGAGCCACCGCGCCCAGCCCAGCCTTGGGTGTTTTAACCCACCTTCTCCTTCTTTGGGTCTCTCACTCAGGGAAGGAGACCCACCCCCTGCTTCACAGAGAAGTCAGACACCATCAGATAAAAGCTGTGAAGACCAGCCAGGTGTGGCGGCTCACGTCTGAAAGCCCAGCACATTGGGAGGCCAAGGTGGGAGGATCACTTGAGCCCAGGAGTTCGAGTCCAGCCAGAACAACATAGTGAGACCTCATCTCTACACACACACACACACACACAACACACACACACTATACGCCTATAGTCCCAACTACTCCAGAGGACGAGGCGAGAGGATCCCTTGAGCCCAGAAGGCTGCAGTGAGCCGTGATCGTGCCACTGCTCTCCAGGCCAGGCAACAAAGAGAGGCCCTGGCTCCAAAACAAAACAAAACAAAAAAGTTAAAATTAAAAAAAAAATTGTTACCTCTGGTTGGACGCAGTGGCTCATGCCTGTAATCCCAGCGCTTTGGGAGGCCAGGTCAGGCAGATCACTTGAGGTCAGGAGTTTGAGACCAGCCTGGCCAACGTGGTGAAACCATGTCTCTACTAAAAATACAAAACTTAGCTGGGCATGGTGGCGGGCACCCGTAATCCCAGCTACTCAGGAGGCTGAGGCAGGAGAATTGCTTGAACCTGGGAGGTGGAGGTTGCAGTGAGCTGAGATCACGCCACTGCACTCTAGCCTGGGTGAAAAAGTAACTCCGTCTCAAAAAACAAACAAACAAACAAACAAAAACAGTTACCTGAATCCTCCCTGCAAAACCCACTCACTGCCCTGTCCCTTGGCAGGTTGAGGTTGGCCTGAGGTTCCCCCACCTCACCCCATCAATTCTCTCCCATCCTATCCCTGCAGATCGTGTCTAAAATTCTCACCATCTAAAAACCACCCCTATGCATCCATAGGTGTGAAAAATTTATATATATACAATATATAATGTAAATATGTATGTAAATAAACAAACCACTGCCCACTCCTATGCCCCTCACTCTGAGTGGTCTCTGGTTGGCATCCCTAAGTGCTGCTTCCACACGCCTCAGGGTCTCTCACCTCCAGCCCACTCACCCCCTACAACCACCACCAAGGCCCAAGCAGCACTGGTGGAGTCGCCGGGAAAGCTGAGGGTCGCCTTGCAGGCGCCACCTCCTGTCCACGGTGTCTGACACTTGACCTCTCCCTGCTTCCAGATGTACCTGTATGGGCACCACCGTGGATCCTGGGTGGCACGGGTTCTGGGCTCTCTCATCTCCTTTGGTGGTCTGCCCCAGCACCCCATGCTCAGCGAGGTCACCTGCTTTTGAGGCTCACACGTGTCTTTGTTCCCCTACATTCACACATCCACTCAGCACCTTCCCTTAGCAGCCTCACAGGCACCCCCAATTCATCACAGCCACATTGTGACCTTCAGGCTGAACCTGTTCTTCCTGTGTCCCCCGGCAGGGAAGGAGCCCCTGACCACCAAAGCTGCAGAAAGAAACCTGGGGGTCGCCCTTAACAATCCCCTCAGCCTCCATGTGCAGTTGGCCATCTCCATGCTGAAGGCTGAGGCCAGCACAGACCCAAGTCTGCCCACCGCTCACTGTGCCCCTACCTCGTCCTGCTCCAGCTGCCATCACCTCACCCAGACTTCCGAGTCAGTTCCCTGCTGCCACCAGTGCCCACGAGAAAGCCACTGAGCTTGTTAAGAAACAGACTATATGTGGCCGGGCACGGTGGCTCAAGCCTGTAATCCCAGCACTTTGGGAGGCCGAGGCGGGCGGATCACGAGGTCAGGAGATCGAGACCATCCTGGCTGACACGGTGAAACCCCGTCTCTACTAAAAAATACAAAAAACTAGCCGGGCGAGGTGGCGGGCGCCTGTAGTCCCAGCTACTGGGGAGGCAGGAGAATTGCGTGAACCCGGGAGGCGGAGCCTGCAGTGAGCTGAGATCCGGCCACTGCACTCCAGCCTGGGCAGCAGAGCGAGACTCCGTCTCAAAAAAAAAAAAAAAAAAAAAGAAACAGACTATATGTATACGTTTTCTTTTTGACATTTTTTTTTTGAGTCGGGGTCTTGCTCTGTTGCCCAGGCTGGAGTGCAGTGGTGCAATCATGGCTCACTGCTGCCTCGAACTCCTGTCCCAGCCTCCTAAGCAGCTGGGACCACAGGCATACGCCACCATTTAGACCTTTAAAACTGAATGCCTTGCGGGCCCCAGGAGGCCCCACGTGGGCTACCTGCGCCTTCCCCAACCTCACTGAGTGCCTCTGCTTTACACGCAACACAGCTCCTGGGTCTGCTCTGAAAGGTTATCTGGATGAACATACTGTGTCACCGCCCTGCTCAAAAACCACGTTCAAGGCCCTTCACAATCTTGCTATGTCTGCTCCTTTCCACATGCCCTTCACTACACTGGGCACAGGACTCTACAGTTTCCAAGACCTGTTCCTGCTCCCTGTCCCACTTATCCCTTCACAGCAGCCCACAGGGGGCAGAAGAGTCTCCATCAGAGAGACAAGAGGCTGCTGAGAGCAGGGCAGCAGCCCGCGAGGGGTCAGCAGCACCACGGGGCAGGTGTCCCCCACGTGCCCAGCACTTGCGAGCTCTCCCACCTCCCTTCTGTAGGCAGCCCTGGCGTGCTCAGCAGAGCCAGGGCCTCCAGCCTCCCCAGATGATCCCTCTCTCCCCTCACTGCACCTCACCTGCCATTGACACGGCCCCAGCTCCCAGTTTTTTTTTTGAGATGGAGTCTCACTCCATCACCCAGGTTGGAGTGCGGTGGTGTGATCTCAGCTCACTGCAACCTCCACCTCCCAGGTTCAAGCGACTCTCCTGCCTCAGCCTCCCTAGCAGCTGGGATTACAGGAGCACACCACCACGCCCAGCTAATTTTTCTATTTTTTGTAGAGACGGGGTTTCACCATGTTGGCCAAGCTGGTCTTGAACTCTTGACCTCAGGGGATACGCCCACCTCAGCCTCCCAAAGTGTTGGCATTACAGGAGTGAGCCACCGCGCCCGGCCCCAGCTCCCAGTTTCATGTGGGGAAGGCAGGTGGGTGGATGGGATGGCAACCATGATGTCCTGCACAGAGCCTGGAACAGACACTGAGATTCCCTTTTATTATTTTTTTTAATAAATTTAAGAACAGCTCTACCTTCTATCTTCCCCCCAGAGCAACTAAAACCAACTAAAAGGGGCTATGGCCTGGGGGGCAGAAGGCGCTAGGAGTCATAATCCTCTTCGTCCTCTTCATCAGGTGCTGAGGGGCCCGGGGGCGCTGGGGGCAAAGGCAGAGTAGAGGCGAAGGGCAGGAAGGGCGTCGGGGGGCTGCAGAGCAGAAGGCAGGGGGGAGTCAGGCCTAAGCCCCACCATGCCCTCCACGGGGGCAGCTGCCAAGCCCCTCCCTCCCTCACCTGACCCTCCCACCACCACCCTCCAGATCCATGGGGCCAAGGCCCAGGGCAGCTCACGCAGGGCAGGCCCAGGGCCCACCCACGGGCCCTGGCAGGGTGGAGCAGGATCTTTCAGGAGAACAGTCTCCTGCCTTCGAGCCCTCCTCAGTCTCCTCAGTTATTCTCCTCCCACCCCCCAAATATGCCACAATCAACAAGACCAAGGGGCCAGGGAGACCAGGAAGGGTAAACTGGCTCTAGGGAGTCTGCCAGCACCCTTCCATGCCCCTGGGCTGCTCACCTCTGAAAGTGGGCAGGGGGGTGGCTGGCCTGGGGTGGGGGTTGTGATGTCTCCTCTTCCCCATCAGTATCTGTGTCCTCAGATTCATCCTGTGAGCACCACAGAGGTCAGAGTTGACAAGAAAAGACACGAGCCCATCACTGGGAGTGGCAGGGACAGCAGTAGACCCTCACAGCCCCAGTTTACAAATAAACCGGGTGCAAAGAGGTCGCAGAAAAGGATGAGCGCTGGCCTCCTGCCAGTTCAGCTTGGGGCGAGGCTGTTTGTCCCATCATCAAGGGCAGGGCGAAGAGCTGGGGCCTCACTCACCTCCTGCTCTGAGTCTGTCCCGGACAGCTTCTTGTCCTTGCTTTTCGTTCCCATTCCACCGTTCTTCCGGCCGCCGCTGCCTGGTTTCCGGCCCCTTTGGGAAGGTACAGTCCATCTGCCCGGAGGTCTCCCTACTCCTTGGCCACCCCCAAGCCCTGTGGCCTTGGCCTTCCCCACTGTATGCCAGGCCCTGGCCCCACCTGCGGGCGCCCTTGTCCCCATCCATGTGGTTGTCCTCCCCGTCCCCCTGCATGTCGGGAACAGATGCCACCAAGTCCTTCAAGAAGTCAAACTGCTGCTCCAGCTCGATGCACTGCTTCCTGGAAGAGGTGAGGAGGGGCTGGCACTCAAGACGGGCCCAGACACCCAAACCCTCAGTGGGTGGCAGCAAGGGGCTCCGGATGTCAGACTGGAGCTCGGGCTGATCTCCGCCCCCGGGCCTGCACTCCTTTACTTAAGTGGCTCCCTCTGCCTGGACGCCCAGCCCCTCCTCTGCCAGTCTGTGGCCTTGCTGGTGTCCCGGCCGCCGCCCACCTCCCTCGCCATCCAAGCTCTGCCTCCCTCAGTGTGTGAACTCCCCGCGCCAGCCCCGCCGGCCCCTCCCTGCTCCTCGCCGCTCACAGGTGGGATGTGGTCATGGTCTTGGCGTTCCGGGACTGGGTCACCTGGCAGGCCTTCTTCAACAGCGACTCTAGGAAGAGCTCAAGCGCCCGGGCTGAGGGGCGTCAAGGAGAACGCCAGGGCGGGGGAGGGCGACCCGCTGCCTCCCTCCCCGACGCCCCTCGACCCGGCCCGCCCCCGGCAGGATACAGATGATGACAGGCACCGCCGCCGCCACCTTCCCAATCTCTTCGTCCGTCTGCATGATCTTCTTGATCCGCGCCTTCGGGTGGGGGAGCAGAGTTCAGACCCCGTCGCCTCCGTCCCCTAAAGGGGTGCCGGGGGAGGAAGGGGCATCCCCGGAGAAAGGGGGCGGAGGACGCGGACGCGGGGAGGGCACGGAGGAGGCGGGGCGTCCAGGCCCCCGAACACCGCGGCGCGCCTGCCTTTCCAGAGGGAACTGGGCCCAAGCCTCCCGGGAGCCGGGCCCACTCCCTGCCGGGCTCTGCCATGTGCTCACCGGCGGGAACCGCGCGTTGTACTTCTTCTTCTTGCTCGGCATCTCGGGGCCTCTCTCGCCGCGTCGGGTCCAGCGCCGCCGCCCGCAGCCTCCCGGCTCCCGGGCCTGCTCGCTGCCCGCCCGCCTCGGTTCCCCCGGGTCCTGGTGCCGCCCGCTCCGCCCCCGCCGCTTCCCGTGGAGTCCTAGCGCCGCCGGTTAAGACGCCGCTCACAGGGCCCTAGTGCCCTCCTCTTGGAGCCTCCCGGGCCGTGCGCATCCCTCCCCGGTCTGTACCGCTGCTCCCGCCCGCCCCCAAGACCAGAAGAGCGAACGTTGGCCCCGCCCCCCACGGCCCGCCCCTCCCGGGGTTCCCGCGATGGCCCCGCCCCCCGAGTCAGCACCTCCCCGTCGGCCCCGCCCCTTCCCCTGCCGGCCCCGCCCCACAGCGCGGCCGCTGCGGCCGCTGAGGCTGGCGGCTCCGCCCCGTGGCTGCGCTTGTCTATAAAGTTGTTGTTGAGGTGGCACGGCGCTAAGATGGCGGCGGCGGCGGCGGCGGCCGTGGCGGGGGTGGGGCGCGGCGGCGGTGGCACGGAGCCCCGGCAGGAGCGGAACCGGGCCCGGGGCTGGGCCGGCGTCGAACGCAGCGAAGGCCGGAGGTGACTGCGGGCGGCGGGAGGGGCAGGGCAGGGCCGGGGCGGGAGCACCGCTCGGGCCGTGGGCGTTAATGGCGGCGGGCGCGGCACGGCCGGAGCCTGGCGCTCCTGCAGGCTCTAGCAAGCCCAGGTTCGACTCCGGGCACCGCCCCATTGGCTTCGGAACGGCCTGTGCCCTTTCTGGACCTCAGTGTCCTTGTCTTTAAGTGGGCCCGATAACGCCTTCTCGGGAGGCCTGGCCCTACAGAGCCGGCCTTGGGAGCTGCGCGAACGTGCGCTTCTTTGCCTTCCTCTATTAAATGCCAGCGCTCCGGATACCTGCCAGGAAAAGGGGGCCTTGTCAGGGCCGGGAGGTGTAGCTGGGGCCGGTTGCTCCCACGCCTGGATTCACCCTTTGGCCCTGCCACGCACTACAGGTGACCTTGGGCAAGTCCTTTCTCTCTGAGCCTCAGTTTCCTTGTCTGTAAGTCAAGGAGAATAGTAATAACTGCAGCAACCCTTCTGGAGCGCTCACTCCTCAGGCATCTAATTTTCACAGCGGATCTACAGGACAGGAACAGTTGTTATCCCATTGTAAAGATGAGGCAACTGAGGCGCATCGACAATAACTCTTACCCAAGGCCACAGTTTAATCCAGTGCCTGGCACCTGTAGTTATTGTCTCAGACCCTGCCCTGACTCGGTTCCCTCACAGCAGGATGGAACCAGGTGAGGAGCTGGAAGAGGAGGACTCTCCAGGTGGCCGTGAGGATGGCTTCACTGCTGAGCACCTGGCTGCAGAGGCTATGGCAGCTGATATGGACCCCTGGCTAGTGTTTGATGCCCACACGACACCTGCCACTGAGCTGGATGCCTGGCTGGCCAAGTACCCACCATCCCAAGTTACCCGCTATGGGGACCCCGGTTCACCCAACTCAGAGCCTGTGGGCTGGATTGCAGTGTATGGGCAGGGCTACAGCCCCAACTCCGGGGATGTGCAGGGCCTGCAGGCAGCCTGGGAAGCTCTGCAGACCAGTGGGCGGCCCATCACACCGGGCACCCTGCGCCAGCTCGCCATCACCCACCACGTGCTCTCAGGCAAGTGGCTTATGCATCTGGCACCAGGCTTTAAGCTGGACCATGCCTGGGCTGGCATTGCCCGGGCTGTGGTTGAAGGCCGGCTTCAGGTGGCCAAGGTGAGCCCACGGGCCAAGGAGGGTGGGCGCCAGGTCATCTGTGTTTACACGGACGACTTCACGGACCGCTTGGGTGTACTGGAGGCGGATTCAGCCATCCGTGCAGCAGGTATTAAGTGCCTGCTCACCTACAAGCCTGATGTCTACACCTACCTGGGCATCTACCGGGCCAACCGCTGGCACCTCTGCCCCACTCTCTATGAGAGTCGTTTCCAGCTTGGGGGCAGTGCCCGTGGCTCCCGAGTGCTTGACCGTGCCAACAACGTGGAACTGACCTAGAGGGGCCAAACTGGGGAGACTGCCCTCTCCCCACTCCATGCTGGGGATGGATCCTCCTGTCTTCCTCCTTGTCCCATGAAGGACAAGCCCCCCAACTCTGGGGACTACTAGGTCACTTGGGAACTACCTGCATCTTCAGTCCCCTTGAACTTCTGCCCTCTGTTCAGGGCTGATGCAAGCCCCACAGGCTGGGGGAATCCGGTTGTCTGAGGGATGAGCCTTCAGCCTCCCTTTGTAATGCTGCTCCTCTCCACTGCCCAGGACCGTGGGTTGGGTGCAGACACCTAAGAGGAGAGACTTCCTTGGGACGCTCATCCCCTGCTATACCTCCCCTTCCTCCTGCATCTCCCCTTCTTTCCTTCCCCCTCACAAGGGAGAAAACTTAGTACTTCCAGCCCCTCTCCTTGGAGCCTTCATGGTCTAGGGGTAGGAGCCCCACTGGCCTGAGCATGCCATTTTGGGGGGAGGGTGGTTGTGCCTACTTGTCCTTTGGCAGAGGGGATGCCAGGACCATGGACATGAGGCCTGCGCATCCCTGCCAGCTCACACAGCCTGTCCCACCATCCCCCCTTCCTTGGCTACTTTGACATGTGCCTGCTCCTGGCATTTCAATAAAACCCGGCTTGGGTCTGTGTCTTGAGTGGTTTTAAAATACTGTCTTGGTGGTTACCTGCTTTGGTTGCTAGGGAGAGGCAAGGCCAGGAGAGACTACCCCGTTGACCCGGCCAGGCCCCCATAGCTGCCCCTAGCAATAAGTTGTGCCTCACTGCTGAGGCTAGGCCCTGTCTCTAAGAACCTCTGCAAAACCAGCCCCACTTCCCCTCCATCCCAAATCAGTTTCTCAGAGATTTCCCATAATTCCAGGGGTTGATCCCTCCAGGAACGTCTAAGGGGCCACTGCTAGCCCTCAAGGTACATTTGTGCATATTAGAGGAAGGTACCAAGCCCAGGCAGTCCTAGGCCAGGGTACGTGGTTTGGGGAGCAGAGGATGGGATGGGCTGGATTTCGGCACCCTAGGCTGGACATCCTTGTGCAGTGAAAAACCTGCGCAACCCTAGGTAGTCTCTCTGGAAGCCCCGCCATTCATACTGTCCTCTTCTACCATCCTGACCTTCATAGGGCCCACTGGACAGTTTGCAAAGCGCTTTCATATGTATTAAATTTAAATCTCACAACCTCTTCAGGAGATGTTGGCCCCATTCTGCGGTCAAGGTAATTGAAGCCAAGAAGGGAAAGGAGTTTTCTCAGTGTCATGCGATGAGGTGGGCAGAGCTAGGACTTGCATCCCAGTCCCTTCCTCAGGCAATGAGGTCCCTGAGCCCACCGAGGAAAACAGCTTTTCATAACTCACGAAGCATGTTCACTTATGTGATCTCACTAGGCCGCCCTGCTCTGCTGGGACTTGCTGTAGCCTCGGAGCCTGGCTCCCGCACACCTCCATCTCTCCAGCCCAGTGCCTGGCCCTGGCCTGGATTGGAGGCCAGTGTGTCTGGCAGGGAGCCCCTTGGGACACAGCTCTCGTGCCGTGCCGAGACTGACTCAGCCCCCAGCAGTCTCACCAAATCGGAATTTAGAGCAGGGGAGCGGAGATGCCACCAGGCTGACTGGGTGGAAGTGGCTGAGTCATGAGATGCTGGCTCAGTCCTCTCTCCAGCTTCCTCCCCACCCTGAGCTTCCCCAGGGCTGAGTCCCCCTCTGCCCAGCCTTGGGAAGTCCCCAGAGCTGGGTGGTCTCCAAGTTGGAGCCTGGTGCTCTGCCTCCCTTGGCCCGCCAGGGCTTTGCACTCCACCAAAGTGGGCCAAGGCACCTCATGGGTCCCGCAGAGATGCCCAGGTGGGGTCAATGGCACTGGCTTCTTTCATAGCTGAGTGTGTCACACACACAGTCCCTCTCCATCGCTGTGCCCTGCCCCACCCCACAACCCACTGTCTCCCAAGCCACTTCCACTGTCCTCTTGTCCCTCCTCCATTCTCCACAGCCAGGTCAACAGATCCCTCCCGCAGAGTGGCCATGTCCTTCTGCCAAAAGCCCTTCCATGGCTCCCCACAGTCTGCAGGATAGAGTCCGCTCTCCTGCACTGGCCGTGACCTGGTGCCCATCGACTGTCCCCGCTTCCCTGGGGCACCCCTTTCTGCCCATGCTCACTCTGCTGGAGCCGTCTGTTACTTCCTTCACCCACTGTCGCACAACCCTGGGCCTCGGGCTGTTCCTTCTGCTTGAGCACCTGCCTTGCAGCCCTGATGGCCGGAGTGTGTGGTGACTTGTGTAATGGCTTGATGGATGTCCGTCTCCTGCTGGCCCCTAAGCCCCATGCCCATACTGTGCTCTGTGAAGGCAGGAACAGTGGCTAGATCTCAGCCCTGTCCCCAGAGCCTACCACAGTGCTAGGCCAGAACAATGACTCCATAAGTTATTATATGAATGAATGAGGTAATTGGCGACTCCAGCCCCTGCTGGACCCGTCTGCCTCATCCCGTCTCCACTCCCTGCTTCGCACTACTTGTCCAAGAACGTTGAGCTGCGTGCGACTTTTCTTGCACACATGGTGGCCTTTCTCACTTTCATGCCTTTGCTGGTGCTGTAGCCTCTGCTTGGCTTACCCTCGCCCATTTCCCTGGCTGGCGCCATGTTCCAGACCTACTGGCTCAGGTGTAATTCTTCAGGATCCTTCCTCATCCTTCCTCACCCCAACTGTTGCAGGCATGTCCCCTAGGCTCCCACAGCTCCCGCCTGCCTGCTGCTCTCATCTGTGTGTAAGATCCCTTCAGAACAGTGGCAATGCTTTATCCTCCAGCATCCGGCATAGGGCCCAGCCTAGTGCAGATGCCAAATTAACTTTCTTTTTTGAGATAGGGTCTTGCTCTGCTGCCCAGGCTGGAGTGCAGTGGCATGATCATGGCTCACTGCAGCTTTGAACTCCTGGGCTCAAGCAATCCTACCACCTCATCCTCCCAAAGTAATCCCAAAGGAATTACAAATATGAGCCCCTGCACTCAGCCAAACATTCTTGAATAAATGAGTGAGTGAATGAAAGCCACTCTCCCTCTCTGGGTCTCAGTTTCCTCATTCTGTTCATAACAAGAGCCAGGCACAGTGCGAAGCATTTACCTACATGATTTCATCTAAGTTTCACCTGGCTCTATTATTATTGCCATTTTGCAGAAGAGGAAACTGAGACCCAGACAAGTTCAATAATTGGCTCAAGTCATGGAGCAAGTAAGTGGCAGAGCCAAGATTCAAACCCAGTTCATCCAACTCCAGGGCATCTTATGCACTGTTGAACCCCCACTTTATCAAAGTGCTGTTGGGGTGGGGACTGCAAAGACAGATGAGACCCAGCAAGGACTCAGGATCTCGTTTCTAAAGCACACAGGAGGTTGGGTCTTCAGAACCACCTGGGAGAGAAGCTGGGCCAAAACTGAGAGTCTCTCTTTTTTTTTTTAAACAGAGTTTCACTCTGTCACCCAGGCTGGAGTACAGTGGCATGATCTTGGTTCACTACAACCTCCTCCTCCTGGGTTGCCATGTTGGCCATGCTGGTCTTGAACGCCTGACCTCAGGTGATCCACCCACCTTGGCCTCCCAAAGTGCTGGGATTAGAGGCATGAGCCACCATGCCCAGCAGAAAGTCCCTTTTTTACCGATGAAGAAACTGAGGCCTAGACAGTGCAATGACCAAACCTACTGGGCAAGAAGGGTCTCCAGGTCTACAGTGGGAACTGGTCCCCTGCTAGGTCAATGGCCCTCCAAAACCCACCCCCTCAGGCTGGCAGTGGGTTCTGCCCTGTTTGGCCCCTTCCTACCTTGGAGCAGGGACGTGCCTTCAGCTCAGAGGGTGCTGGGAAAACTTGGACAAGTCCTGTGCTCCGCTCCTTTTATAAAACCAGGGGGGCCGGGTGCGGTGGCTCACGCCTGTAATCCCAGCACTTTGGGAGGCCATGGCTGGTGGATCACGAGGTCAGGAGATCGAGACCATCCTGGCTAACACGGTGAAACACCGTCTCTACTAAAAATACAAAAAATTAGCCGGGCATGGTGGCGGGCGCCTGTAGTCCCAGCTACTCGGGAGGCTGAGGCAGGAGAATGGCGTGAACCTGGGAGGCGGAGCTTAGAGTAAGCCGAGATCGTGCCACTGTACTCCAGCCTGGGCAACAGAGCCAGACTCCGTCTAAAAAAAAAAAAAAAACCCAGGGGAAGGGTGACTGAGGCCAGGTAAAGAACCCCCGCCCCAACTCCTTTTCCTCCCACTCTCACATACTGCAAACCCCAGATCCCAGGGAGGAGGCTCCAGAGGGTCTGTCCAGGGAAGGAGAGAATCTGCCCGACTTGTACTTCTGTTGGAACTCATGCAGACTCAAAGAGGACTGAATCAGCTGAGTCGGGAGAACGCTTCAGCAGGAGCTTTGGCAGGATTTGGGGGATTTTCCCAGTGGGGCAGCTGCGCCCCACTCTTGCCGGCTGGGAGGGGCTCTGGCAGGGATGAGGATCGGGTCACACAGCTGATTCATCTGAGGAGGGAAACTCCCCGCTCCTCTGACATACATCCCCCAGGCACCCAGGGGTAAACCTGAGGACACCCAGCTGAGAAGCCCACCAACCCCATCCTCCTTTGCTTACTTGGAAAATGCCAGGGAGATAGAGTCAGGCAGGGTGACAGGGCTTAGGGGGCACCTTCCCAGGGAATAAAACCAGAGACTGGGACCAGAGAGAAAGCTGGACAAGGGCCACCTCAGGGGTCCTTTCTCACCCATTTTATAGATGAGAAAACAGGCTCAAATAGTAAAAGTAAACATGGGCTAGGTGTGGTGGCTCATGTTTATAATAACAGCAGTCTGGGAGGCCGAGGCAAAAGGATTGCTTGAGCCCAGGAGTTCAAGACCAGCCTGGGCAACACAGTGAGACCCCCATCTCTACCAAAAACAAAACAAAACAAAACAAAGCCAGGCATGGTGGCACATTCCTACACTCCCAGCACTCAGGAGGCTAAGGGAGGAAGGTCGGTTGAGCCTGGGAGGGCAAGGCTTTGGCGAGCCACGATCCAGCAACTGCACTCCAGCCTGGCAAACCTGTCTGGAAAAAGAAAAAAAATCAAACCTGTATATAGACCTACTCTGTGCTAGGCACACCCTAAGCAGTTCAGATGCATTAACTCATTATGGTCCTCACAGACCTCCTCCTTTTACTGATGAGGAAACTGAGGCAGAAAGAGGTTAAGTAACTTGGCAACTTGGCCAAGGTCAAGGCTAGAACTGCTCTGGGGCCTGCACAACTCCCGGGAGTCCTTGTACACCCGCGTCGCAGGGAGCTCTGTCCCTGGTCCCTGAGCAGCTCTGGCCGTGAGGGGAAAGACCTTTCTGGGATGAAGTCTAAATTGGCTTCTGGGGATCTTCCCTCCTCCGACCGACTCTGCCCTCTGTATACCCTAGAGGACACGGAGGTCACCCACCAGGCCCCAGCTCTTCTTCCTCCCTCCCCTAAAGGGAGAAAGCTGGTTCAGGCAGGAAAATCAGCCCAACCCTCAGAGGCCAGGAGAGGGCAGCGAAGCATTCCCGCCAAAATCTCTCCAGGGCTTTGACTCTTTTCCAAACCCCAATCCATCCTTCCCTCCCGAGTCAGAGCCTCCCTTTCCGGTCTGCCACCCGCCCCTCACA